TCAGTTTTGGGATGATGTTGCTCTCACTGGGGGCAGGCAGAGCATCGCTCACCTTTCCCCGTGCCGTGCCCTGGATGTGTTTGCACATCTCCACAGCCACATCTGCCACCCTTCCTGGCTCCCAGGGCTGTTCTGTCCTCAGCAGGACCCTCTGAGCCTCCTCTCCCCGGGGCACTGGAAACCTGAGCCTGCAGCTCGCAGCGGGACGAGCCCCCCTGAGCCTGGGATGGTGACCTGCTTGGGCTGTTCCCTGGGGGGCTCACAAAATTTCTTTCCAACCTGGGATTGCCTTCCCAGAGCCTCAGCACTGAGTGTCAGCTCATCCCCTKCTGTTTCAGACCTCTGCCACTCTAACCCTTCTCTTTTTCTGTTCCCCCTGCCCCTCTCTTTCCCCTCACAGCAGCTCTGTGTCCAGTCAATCTCTGCATTCTTGGGCTGATTTCCTTACTGTTTGTATTCTATAAACCCCACCCTTCCAGAAACATGGATTATTGAACTTTTTTAATATTTTAAATATAAGATACATTGCACTTCCCAAATGATGGTTAAAGTTTGATTTTGCATGTTTAAAAATATCTTCCTGGAGTTTTCCAAGTCCACATGAATAAAAACAAATAAAGCACTGCAAGGTGGAAGTAATAGAGTTTTGAAGAGGATATTTGAAACCCATCTGTGAGAATGGATCTGTTTTACTTGTGCTYAAATCACACGGAGATTAAAACTTTATTTTAAACAAGTCCTTGACTACTCCTAATGTAGAATCAAAGAGTCTTTCCAAAATGCTGTGATTATGTTATCTGTTACCCTGAGAAGAAGTTGCAGAAAAAAAATAAGGTTAAACTTTCGTTGCTCTTCCATCAAAGAGCAAAATTCCTTAAAATTCTGTTTTCCATGTATGATTTAGTCATTAATGTCTGCATGAACAAAGCTGTCTTGCAGAAGTACTTCTGAATATTTGAAYCCCAGCTTAATAGATTGAAAGAGGAAACTTAATTATTCTGTAAAGTATGCAAAGAGATTTTTTTTTATTCTCAAAAAATAATAGACCTTTCAGAATTAATTTGTAGATATCACTTTTTTCAGAGGGGATTGTTTAATTCCTGTTTACAAGTGTTTGGCTTTTGTTAATGTGGTTTTGCTCTAAGTTTCCCCCTCATTTTTTTCACTCTTTTTTCCCATTAGAAAGCGATGCTGCAACCCTATTTGTTCAAACAATGATGTTTCCTCTCAATAAATCATCAGATGAGCTATGGACTTGATAATCTTTACTTAAACCCAAAAATATCCACATGGGTGCACAGCATTTGGCTAATTAATTTCTGATAATTTGCAATGCTCCCAGCCAGCTGCCAGGGGCTCCTGTGAGTGTTAATCTGTTAGCCACGGTGAAATGATTGGAGATCTGCTCCTGCTGGTTGCCAGATAAATTCTTCTTATGACAATGTCACTAGGTTAATTAATTCAATTAATGACTCCCCGTGCAATGTTTTTCTTTGTCTTTTTCATTTGCCACAGGCTGCTGAACAGGTACTCCCAGGGATGTATTCTGAAGTTGTGTCACAGATAAGGAATAATGTACCATTTTCGTGTCTACTTCTGAAGTGTCTTATTTTTTTCTTTTTTTTAAATGAAGTTTAGTAGCTGTTAACTCCATCCAAAATTAGTGTATTTTCTCTTTTCTCTTAAATGTAAGCAGTCAAATACCCATCACTTTATTATTTTCAGGTACAGTCATGATTTTAGGTGACTTTAGTGTTAGATAATTTTTACTCAYTGTGTAACTTTACTCTCCAGATGCCACAAACTTCAAGTTTGTTTTCACCCTTGAAAAGAGGAACTTCAAGCTGGATCAGCACTCAGGTGTCTCCACCTTATCACCCCAGCTCCAATAATRAAAGTGTTATAAATATAATAAATATTTAGAATAGAATAATAGAAYAAAAGTTCAAGAAGCAGAAAAATGCATCTCACATATGGCTGGTGATTTTTTTATTAAGGAAAAAGTGAAAGGAAAAATGCTTCAAAAAGGGGCACGTGGAAAGAATCTCAGGAGCTCCCTCAGAGCCTCTSCARCCTCTCTGTCTTGGATGTCACCTCRTTTTTCTGAGCAAAACYAGGAKGGTTTGGAGAGAGCAGCCTTCACTTTTTAGTTTAGCTCATATGAAAATGTGAGTAAAGCACAGASCAAGCAGTGGAGGGAGAATGAAAGYMAATTTTTCCTCTTGAGCTTCATCTACAGAGAAAAGCATTGTGACACCCATCCCAGTTACGATTTCTTGTTCTGGCCGTGCACCACCACCCCTTGGACATCCTGCACATCTCTGGGGATTGACAATTAAWCATTGATATTTGTGCTGAGGTCACCCTGTGTTCACTCTGCTGTGTTTCCCATTCATTCAAGGCTTTATTTTTATTCCTTTCCTTGAATACAAGGTGAAAACACTTTTGATTGTGAATTCTGTGTTTGRAAATGAACTGAAGCAAGCTGGAAATCCAAATCCCATCATTGAGGTTCTGGGTTTGGGTTAGCTCCCATTTTGTATGTGATTAAATCAGATTTAGAATAATTTTAATCACYTGGRTGACTGATTTAAACCCAGTGAASRYTCTAAAGGGCTTCCAGCAAAAGCTKTGTCTTGCCCTGGGGCATCACAGCAACCTGGAGGAGAAGTGTGGTGAGGAACAACTMGAGCTGCTCCCAGGAGATCTGTGCTGCCTCTTAGCATCCCTAAAAACATCAGTAAAGGTGTGACCGTGGAAAGGTTCTTCTCTGAAGGATCAGAGGGAGCTGCCCGTGCCCCTCAGAGGAACATCTGGCATTGGGGGTGTATTTTCAGAGACTCCATGTGCTCTCTGCCCTRTGCCACACCAACCTCTCTGAACTGTGGGTTCCAGGAGCAGCCTCCCCCTCCCAGGGGAGCTGAGGGTGAGGTGCTCCCTGCTGTTTGTGGGGTGTCTGTTCCCAAACCAGGGGTGCACCCTTGACCAGCCCGTGCAGGGAGGGGAGGGGAGGGAAGGGGGGACACCTCAGTTCACTGCTGAGCTCTGGGAGCCTCAAACAAAGGAGTTTATGGCATCTTCTGACACTTGTTATCTCATGAAAAGCCCATTATCCCCTGAGGGGGAAATCACCACGTGCTTTCCTTTAAATCCAGCCCAAACACAGAGTTTTTAATAGAAACACTCGGGTGATTCGTGTCCTTTTAGCAGGAGCAGCTGCCCAGGCGAGCCACGCTGAGGAGCAGAGTTTGAGCTGCTGTTTCCCTGCAGCAAACGCTTTGCTTTGTCTCAGGAGCCAGGGATAGGAATCAGGATATGCAAATTGGGGCTCTGGATCTTAATTATGAGCAGCAGGTGTCTGTGCAAGAGCCTCAGGTGAGGGGCACCGCAGCTCCTGGCACCTGCCTGTTGTGGGGGTACAAAGGGTCCCAATTAATTATCCACGTTAATGAGCTCGGGGAACCAAGTGAAAGGAGAGGGCCTTGTCTGCTACTCCAATTTAGGTTTCTTCACAAACAGCAGTTTAAAACCAGCTCTGCAGCTCAGCCTGTGAAGAGCATGGAGAGGATGAAATTACTGTGATAAACCTTGAGAAATCAATTTGTGGGGGTAGAGACTGTGATGAATGGTCCTGGTGAGGGAATTAATTGAGGGACATTTCTTCAGGATGTTTTGACCAGAGGAGCATCTTCCCAGTGTGCTGGTGAATGTGACTGTCTTTGGGGAGACAATGCTGTTTRCCTTTTACTGATTTAAAAATGGGTAATTATTATGGGTTTGGGATTTTTTTTTTTTGTCAGCACACCACTAATTACACTGCAGGCATTAAGGTCAGGTGAGCTGGGGGTACAATTCATGACTAAAATAACCTGATCAGTGTTGGTTTGCAGTGACTGTGCCTCCTGWGTGGACAGGCACAGGTGAGGGAGGGCACACAGGGATGGTGCCTCCAGAGCAGGTGCAGACCACACTTTGCTCAGTCTGACCCTCATCTGAGGGGATAATTCACTTTCTCTGTCCACTCAAGGATCATTTTTCCCCCAAGGATATAAATTCTGTACCATTTATTGAACAATTAACCATTATTCTTTTTTTGATGAAGTTATTGGTCTACTTTTAAGGAAATGCATAAAGGCCAAGTTACACACAGTTGTTTCAGCTGATTTAAGGTCTGGCTGTGGTCTGGCTCTGTGATGCTGCTCTTGCCCTGCCTTTGACACACAAGGCTCTGTACTGAGTCCATTTGATTTGCTGACCATCAGAAAAGTAACTCAGAAAACAGTGGCTGAGATCTTCCTTCTCCATCCCTTGGTGTCAGACCATCCCTTTTTCCCCCACCACAGGTATCTTCATTCTCTTTCAAGCAGGACAGTGTAAGCAGTAGCAGACAGGAGCCCCACACATGGACAGCAGGGAACAGTTTGTCACCTGGACAAGGTATTTTAATCCAATGTGGTGTTTTTGCATTGACACCTTGGGCCATTTCTGGTATAACCCAATTTTGTTATTACTCAGCTCTCAGATTGGAGCAGATTGCTGTTTGCAGCCTTTCAGCCAGTCATCTTCCCAAGCTTTTTTTTGCTTCTCTTTCTTCTTTTTATCCCCTCCAGCTGTGGCAGTATCTCAGCAGACCTGGCCCTGATTTTGCACACTTTGTGTGGCCACAGTGGGTGTCAAACAGCATCGCTGTCTGTGGCTTTATTTCACACCCCTGGGTAAATAAATGATCACCTGAGCTCCGGAGGAATGAGCTGCCAGCCTCAGAGCACCTTGGTGCAGTGCTGCCACAAATCTGGGGCACTTTGAAGGAATCAAATCCTTCCCTCCTGTGGTAAACAAAATCAAAGCCAAAAGGCACAACTTCTCCACCCTCTGTCACCATGTGAAGGCATTTGGCTGACTCACGGCAGAATAACGTAACGGGTGACCTTGCATGGGAAACAGTACAGATAAACATATATTTATTAAACAAAACCGCTTTACTTCTCTAGCACTTCTTGCAGAGCAATAGTCCCTGATTTGTTTTTCAGTAGGAAACTTGTGGATACAGGTACGAGTTTAAAATGGTGACATCCAATCCATTTGTAACCCTTTCCAGAGCTGGGAATATTTCTGATGAGAGCTGAAGCATCTCTGCTTGTTTGGAGGAAATGCTGCTACACAATGCAGGACAAAACAGTTCAAGCCACTTTAAAGAGGATAAATGGACAGAGGCTTCAAGGTAGGATCATCTGTTTATTTACATCCATTGTCTCCTTGCTTCCCACACAAATATATTCCGTTTAAAATTTATAAAGCTGGGCGAGCCCTTCTCACGCTGTTCTCAGTAAAATATTGCTCGCTGCATCCCTCTGAGGGGCTGCTGACAAATAGGCTCTTGTTGTCTAACTTTCCCTCTGCTGAGGTTAATGATTAAGTGGTTCAGAAGGTTAATTCCTGGAGATAGTGTTGTCTTTGGCCTGAACAGATGTTGGTGGTGCTTTAATGTGGTTATCAAACTCTGCTGCCCTTCATCCTTTGCTCTGTGCAGCCCTGGGCATTGTTCCCCGCGCATTCCAGGCCCCCTCTATGGAGATCCAGCAGAGCTGAACATACCATTGCACAGGGGCTGCCTCCCCGGGGTCAGCTGGGCAATGCCAGCTCTGCCACGGAAGGAAATTGAGAACAGCTGGGGCTTCCCAAGAGCTGGAATTATTTGTGTGTGTGTAAAGTACAGGATACCTGGTGAGGCTCTGCTGAAATGTCTGTAAAGATCACCCAGAGACCCCCTCAGGGCACAGCATCACCCTGAAAYCTCCCCCTCCTCCCCTCAGCACCTCCTGGTGATGCCTTAGGATTYCAGTTTCTCTATTTCCATGTSTCTGTAMCCCTGKGATTCTTCAGTGTTTMACTCCAGACTCCACAGACAGTGCTGAGCTCCTGCTCTCCCATTTTTACACAAAACAATTCCTCTGCAGCCCCAAACTCAAGGACACCTCCCTGTGCCAGGCCCCAAGAGATGGAAACAACAGAGAATTGGGGGGAGCCAACTTGGAGTCAATGACTGCATTGGCTGAGCTGCAATTGGAGGATTCAGCAAATCCCGATGTGCAAATGGACAAAAGTGAGAAAGGGTGAAAAACCCATGAGCCATTGTCCATTGTGGGGGTGGGACTGCCCTGAATGGCCCTGAAGGCTCTGCAATAACAGAACTGCTTTGGATTCTCTGAACTCTGTCCAGTCTCTGCTCTAGGTAGGCCCTGCTAAGGCATCACCTGATGCAAATGGACAAAAGTGAGAAAGGGTGAAAAAGCCGTGAGCCATTATCCATTGTGGGTGCAGCCCCTGCTGGGCTGGGACTGCTCTGATTGTACCTGAAGGCATGCTTTAAATGGAACTGCTTTTTATTCTATTAATTTTGTCCAGCCTCTGRTTTAGGTAAACTGGACTAGGCACCACTGTCTTGCCATGATCTGAGTCTCAGGGGTCTCAGGGGTGCCTGAGGAGTTCTGTGCTGTCCCCAGCACCTTTAAGAGCCTGGTAAAACACAGGGGATTGGACCAATATTTGCAGCTCAAAGCTGCATCAYTACAGGAGCTGCTGGCTGTGTGTAGGAATTCTTTACTCCCACATCCCCTGCATCAGAACCAGCCAGCAGCACCTTGCTTTGGGTGGTGGACAGGGATGGATTTACCAGTCAGCCTTGGAAACACCTCCTGCCCTCTCCCTACACTGCTGGCAGGAATCCTGTTGGCAGTTAAAAGCATCTAACTTCACTCTGTCTGGATAGGACAATATAATTTTAATTCTTACTGAGAAGCATATAGTAAGAAAACCAATGCATCACTAGTTGACAAATTKTATCCAGATCAAATACAGCATAAAGCACAGAGTTTTAATTTGGGGAAGAATACTGCTAATTTCAAGGAGTTAACTGGCTTATGGAACCAGGGCATTCCCAGGAACCTCATGTTCCATAACATGGAGATTTTTAAAAAGTAATTCACAGTTACAAAGAGAACCAGTGTCCTGTGACCAAAATACACATAGGTATTTTAAATAGTAGGATGCAAAAAAAAGTATGCAAACTTCACGATTTCTACAAATAGTTCCTGAAAGAGTTAATTTTTTGGCTGGTCTCATGCTGGGATTGGTTATATTTGATGCCAATATTGCCAATGCTGTAAGTGAAACATCATCTTGGATTTTACCCATTTGTTACTATTTGTGAAACTGTAGATGGAAAGGAATTGTTGCTTTTTGTTTCACTACAAGTTGAGATGAAACCCTGTTGGCCCATCCTTGATTAGGAACTCCCTCCCACCCTCTCTTTCCCTTCCTTTTTCTCTCCCAGCTGATCAGTTCTCCACTTTGCTTTTGCTCCCTCCTTAGGGCTCACTCCAC